GGCACATCTTTGAAGTGCTTAAAAATGGAAGACTAAATGAGAGAAGGAGTACCAAATCAAAATGCTGTTTCAGAAAAAATATAGTTCAGTATTGCAGGTGAAATAAATAACTTTTCTAACAAAGTGAAACTAAGAGAGGGGTGGTCAGGTGGCATGGAAAGGTGCTGGACTCCCACATGGGCAACTGCGGTTTGAGTTCCAGACCTGGTAGCTTGCTTTCTCACTTTCTCTCTCTCTCTCTCTCACTCAGTCTCTCTCTGATCAAATTAAAATAAATAAATAAATAAATAAAGTTAAGATAAAATAATTCTTTAAAAAATGTAAGCTTAAGAGAATGCATAATGGCAAGTTTGTACTATAAAAAAATGTCAATGGAAAAAAAATTAGTCAAAGGCAAATGTTATCAGAATAAGCTGAGATCTCCAAGAGCATTTTGAAAAGCATTGGAATTTGGAAAAATCTGAGTAAATATATAAAAAATTTTTTTTGAAATGCTTATGACTCTTTAATGACAAAATTATAAAGCTGTGCTTCGAAGTTTATAATTTATTTGTGCAAATGACAACTGTAACTTAAAGATAATAGTAATGCCACAAGTTTTCTATAGTCAAAATCAAGGAATGTATACTAAGTAAAATAGTCTTTGAAAAGTTAAGAGCATGTATTAAGCCCAAAAGCAGTCACTAAAAAATAATAAAAAATTGTTATAGCAAAAAATTCAACAGATTTACTAAAAGAGTCTTAAACTTAAGTTACTATTTAATGTTTTTAAATTGAGATAACATGAGTTTTTGCACTGATTTATCCACAGTAGATGAGAATGGTTGTAAGATGTGATTAGTATAAACTACCTTTGTATCATTTATTATTTTTTTGCAGCAGAAAAGTTTAAATAACTTATCAAAGGTGATGAATAATTTTTAGTGTCATGTTAATATATAAATGAGTAAATCGACAATATGTGGAAAATAGAAAAGCACTTGATATGTAAATATTTAAATAATTCTCAGGTCATAGAAATATTAACATTTTACTAAATTTTTAAAAAACTTCCTGCCCTTCTGTTCTGGGTTCATTCCATTAAAACTCAATGTTTGTTTGTAAATAAAATGTTTCATAACTTTCTGTCTCCTTGGTGCCTATCATTACAGAACAATATTATATTAGCACTAAACTATTTTACAGTATTTTAACATGCCACCTACAGGGGACAAATAAAACTCATTCTTTTATTAGAAGGGAGTCAATATAACAAATATGCCAAAATCTAAGAAGGCATAGAACATGCTGGTGAAAAGCCTTGAACACTTTTATGTAAGATTCTTTCTTTCCCAAATTGCTGTTTGCAGAATCTTAGCACATTTTGCTGTGTGGTCAGCAATCTGTAGTCTATGGTGAAACTCAGTTGCACTCATTCATTTCCTCTTGAATATGGCGGCTTTTGCTCTACAATGGCAGAGTTGAGGAGGCATGAAGAGAATGTATTTACTTCTCTTTCAGTCAAGAAATCAACAGGGTGTTTTCTCTTTTATTGGCTCTTTTTAAGAAAACCCCACTGCAATTTTCCCTGTTCAAGTGACTCCCAGGATTCTGGAGTCTTCTAACACTACTTATGCTTTGAAATCAGAAGTGCTGGTATGACTGTTCCTGTTAGTCTCTGTTCTACAATATTCCCCCTTTCCTTCCCTTCCCTTCCCTTCCCTTCCCTTCCTTTTCCTTTTCCTTTTCCTTTTCCTTTCCTTTCCTTTCCTTTCCTTTCCTTCCCTTCCCTTCCCTTCCCTTCCCTTCCTTTTCCTTTTCCTTTTCCTTTTCCTTTCCTTTCCTTTCCTTTCCTTTCCTTCCCTTCCCTTCCCTTCCCTTCCCTTCCTTTTCCTTTTCCTTTTCCTTTTCCTTTCCTTTCCTTTCCTTTCCTTTCCTTCCCTTCCCTTCCCTTCCCTTCCCTTCCCTTTCCTTTCCTTGTTTCCTTTCTCTTTTCTCCTTTTTCTTTTCTTTTCTTTTCTTTTCTTTTCTTTTCTTTTCTTTTCTTTTTCTTTTTTCTTTTCTTTTCTTTTCTTTTCTTCTTTTCTTTTCTTTCTCTCTCTGTCTTTCTTTCTCTCTCTCTGTCTTTCTTTCTCTCTCTTTCTCTCTTTCTCTCTTTCTTTCTTTCTTTCTTTCTTTCTTTCTTTCTTTCTTTCTTTCTTTCTTTCTTTCATTCTTTTTGTGTGAGTGCTTTCATTGACAGTTTATTTTTTATGTTAATTTTCATCTGACCAATACCAATATGATGCATTTACAATAGAGATAAGGAATGAATTCCTAAAAGTGAGGAATGTAATATATTCAAATGAAAAATAGTGAAAATGAAAGAAGAGTCATCTTCTTATCCAATTGTTTGTTTTATTTTGTTCTATAACAAGGAGGTTATTTCTCATATCCCCTAGAGAGCCCTTTTTACTTTCCAAGGGTCTGATAAAGTTTAATGATTAATCATTTCTTCTCTCATTTTTTCTTTTTGCATTACGACACAAAATACCTTATTGGTGAGAGGGATTTTCAATCTCCAGTGAATATTTTACAGAATGATTGCCCACTACTATGGTGTCTTTCCCCATGAGAGAATTTCTCTCAGGACCCATCCCAAGTCTATTTGTTAGTTTAATCAATAAAAAAGTACAGTAAACTAAAAAGTAATAAGAGAGCAACTACATTTTTTGCCAGTATTTGTTTATATTACCAAATTTGAATCATGATCAGCACAGTGCAGAAATACAATCTGTGTTACAGAAGAACTTTCTGTTGAAGGTTTACTTCTTTCCATTTATGTGTTTGTTACTTTATAAATGTACTTGGTCTTACATATTGTAAGTATGCACTACAATAAGAAATAGTATTCATTTTTGAGAATGCTTCACATTGAACTTACTTATTCTATTCACCCCTTTCTTTTGGATAACTTTACATTTCTTTCCCCCCATTTTTTAAATATTTCTGTTGAAACTAGGAATTTTTATATTAAATATAAATTTAGAGAAAACTAAGAGTTTTGTAGTTAATAGACCCTGTTAAAGTTTATTTTGATCATTTCCAAAATCAATCAATCCCTATTTCTCCTCTAATTTTTTCGACAAAGCAGGATATTGTACCTAAAAATTGATTCTAATTTTCTTCAAATCTACGTTAAAAGAATGTAAAAATTAGTAAAACTAAAGCAATTATTTCAATAAAATGATGAGACACAATATTTTATAATTGTTATAACCATATAATTTGTAACTTTGACATATTATATTTTATAAATAAATTATAATTACAAAAGATATTTCTGTTTTGTCAGTTTGTTTTTACATTTTGTGACATAGTATTGAATACTACTCAATCTCGTGACTCCAAATACGCTCTCACAACAGTTTTATAGTCTCTCTTAGTTTCCTCATTCATAAAATTAGAATAAAAATGTTTTCCTTTCTCTCTCTCCATTGTATCTTATTTGAGAAAATTTTGATGGTCAGTAACTGAAGCCTAATTAAATATAATTCAAGTTTGTTTATATACATATTTCTTTTAAAAAATGTTTAATCTGTAGTAGTCTTTAAATTTCCTGTGTGCTTTGTATCCTCCATATGCATAAATCTTTGCATTTGTAATTAGTTTTTTTCCCTAAAGAGAGAGAAATATCTAAGTATTACACAATTGTATTTCTGTTTTTTCAAATAAAAAGAAAAAATTGAAAAGGAAGAAAGAAATGTTCATAGAAAATAAGGAAAGAAAAAAGGAAGTAATAAGAAAGGGAGAAAACCATGCAAGCAGGGAAACAAATAAATTTGATTCACTGTATCTAGGAAACTAAGCAAATGACCACTGCTATTTATAGCAGGTAAACTGTGCCCTAAGAATTTACGTTACTACCAGGACAAAAACAATGGAAGAAATGATGCTATTAGCTTAGTAGAAAAAGATGAAATGTCTGCCATGATTTGAAGTATTTCTTCTTATATAAGGAAAATAGATACAATATTATATATTATTTTTTCTAGAGTAAATACAAGCTTTAACTATTAAAAATAAAATCATGGGCTAGCCCTGTGGCTTGGTGGTTAGAGCAGTCAGATCACATATGGCTGACTGTGTGGTTCAGGTCCTGAACCTAGCAGCTTGAGAAACACACCAGGAACATGTGTGTGGATGCCCAAAATCATGAAAGGAGGAAAGGGTGAAGAGGAAGGGATTGCAGTGTTATCCTTCCTCATGGGGGATTTTTCTCCTCTCTCTCTCCCTGACTCGCTCTCTCTGGCAATCACGTCCACCCTCTAGCCAAAAATAAGATAAAATGAAACAAAACAAAAAATAAAATGAGATAATTAATTGAATTTTATTTTCATTTTAAATACAAAATCCAAAATAGATTTTAAATCTGTGACAAGTATCTTCCATTAAATGAGTGACTTTTAGCAGCAGTGAACTGATAGTAAAATAAAGGAAAAAACCCAGAAATCCTCTTGTTTCCATTTTTCTAGAAATGCACTTAAGAGGGTAAATCTGCATTATTTGCAAATAAATATATCTGAAAAGGCTTATCAATCAGATTGAATTCCTCACTAGAAAGACTTTCTGAAAATAGCAATCCATTATTTAAAATTAAAAAAAAATCATTTAATTTTATCTATTATTATCTTATTATTATTTTAAAATTTGACCAAAGAGACACAGAGAGAGGAGAGAGAGAGCTAGAGAGGAAGAAAGAGATGGAAAGTGACAAAGCAAGCTACCAGGTCCAGGACTCGAACCATAGTCAGCCTTGTGGGAGTATAGTGCCTTAACCACCAGAGCACCTGCCAGCCTCAGCAATCCATTCTTTATGTTCACTGTGTTTTGTAAAATATTTGAAATAATATTATAAAACAAATTTTCTTCCATGCTAACTCATTCATTATCTTTTACTAAACAAGTATTCCAATCATTCATTTCTTTCTTTTCTTTTTTCTTTTTTTAACTATCCATCTAGTTTCACCTATATCTCAGCTATGAAGAACGAGCTGAATAGGAATTACACAGAAGTGACTGAGTTTATTCTTCTAGGATTCAGAACCCCTCCAAAGCTACAGATCCTTTTATTCTTAGTGTTTCTGATGATTTACATGGTAATCGTGGTGGGAAATATCAGCATGATAATTGTCATTAATATGGACTCCAGACTTCAAACGCCTATGTATTTCTTCCTTAGAAATTTGTCCTATTTAGATCTGTGCTATTCCACAGTCATTGCTCCTAAAACTTTAGCCAACTTTTTGACTAATGAAAAGAAAATTTCATACCATAGCTGTGCAGCCCAGTTTTTCTTCTTTGCCCTGTTCGTCACAACTGAAGGCTTTCTTCTGGCCGTAATGGCATTTGATCGATTCTCAGCCATTTGCTCTCCACTTCTTTACCCTGTGCAAATGTCCCAGAAAGTCTGTGTTCAGCTGGTAACTGGATCCTATATGTGTGGGGGCATTAATTCCATAGTACAAACAGGGTTCACGTTCAGTTTGCGCTTTTGTGGAGAAAACAGACTGGACCACTTTTTCTGTGATGTCCCTGCCTTGATCAAGATCTCATGTGTTGACACCTTTGTGAATGAGATTGTGCTGTTTATTCTCTCTGCTCTCATCATCATCACCACCACGACTGTCATTCTGATTTCCTATGCTTACATCCTCTCCACTGTCCTGAAGATCCCCTCCACCCATGGCAGGAATAAGACCTTCTCTACTTGTGGCTCCCATATAGCAGTGGTGAGTTTATTCTATGGAACTGTGTTCTTCATGTATGCTCAACCTGGGGCCATCTCCTCACCAGAACAAAATAAGATTGTGGCTGTGTTCTACACACTTATAATACCAATGCTAAACCCTCTAATATACAGTCTGAGAAACAGAGATGTGAAAGATGCTGTGAGAAGAATATGTGGGAAATGGTCTTCTCCATGTTATATATAAAACTACTATATGGTGGACAAAGTTCATTTTGTTAGGATCCTAGTTACTGTTGTTCTTGTGACGTTATTGTGTAAAAATATTTATATATACATATATATATATATAGAAATACCTATTTTTTCTAAGTTTTACAAAATACTCTTTCTAATAATGCACATATACATATCATTATTTTATTTGCTTAGAATATATTAAGCACATTTATTCTCAATTTATGATATGTTAGAATTTTCACTTTAATTTCATTTTGATTAAGAAGTACATGTCCTGGAGCCAGTGGTTAATAGCACTCGACTCCCATATGACCGACTACAATTCAAGTCCCAGACTTGAAGGCCTGAAAATTACACTGGGTGCATGTGTGTGTGCATGCTTAAGATTCCAGGAAGAGAATGGAGAAGGCATTGCAGCATGGCCACTCCTCCTGGAGGATTTCTCACTTGCCCTCTCACTGTCTCTCTTTGTCTCTCTCTGTGGCAAGTGCACGTGGCCTATGGCAATAACCTTTTAAAAAAATAAGTACATGTGCTTCAAAACATGTTATATAATAAATATAATTTTATGTTTGTTTAGAAAATAACTTTGAAAAAAGTAACTATTAGGAGCTGTTACTATGTAGTCATTAAAATAATAATATCTATGTGTATAATTATTTACTTTTTTTAAACAAGATAAAACTCATTGTATTGATGGAGAAATGAAATGTCAGTTGTTGCAGAGGGCTGGTCCCTAGCTTAGTGGTTAAAGGAGCTGGATACCACATGGTCAGTCCCAATTAGAATCATGACTGTGATGGCTTGAAAAGCAGACCAGGCATGTATGCATGTGAGCCCCATATCCTGACAAGGTGGAGAAATAGAAGAAAATGAATTGTGACTGCACCCCATTTGGAGTGCTTTCTCTCTCTCTCTCTGGTAAGTGCACTTACTTTCTGATGATTAAAAAAAATTGTTACATAGAATGTTTTTAAGTAAAAATATTATTGTTTCCCAAAGACCCAGGTTTATAATTTGGAGAGTTATCTTTGAGTTACCACACCTATTAAAAAATGTCCCACAATGCATCATTCAAGAAGCAAGTTTTCACATAAAATATTGTGGCAAGGGCCAGCTTGTGGCACTATAGTTAAGGTGACTGGATCTCTCATGACCAACTGTGCGGGACTTGGTGGCTTCAGAAATACATCTGGCATGTGAGCATGCATGCTCTTAATCCTGAAAGAATGGAAAAATTAAAGAGATGGGATTGAGGTGTGACTCTTCCCCATGGAGAGTGTTTTCTCTCTTTCTTTCTCTTTTTCCAGTGAGAATACACACCCTCTGGCAAATTTTAAAACAAAATTGTGGCTACGAACATGCTACTAAGTTTGATATCCCCATTATTAAGAATGACATTGTATAATAATGAAAGCTGATACACAAAGAACACCTACCATATACTGTACATTGTTTTTTATTTTATCTATCTATCTGTTTTTTTTTTTTTTAATAAGAAAATGGAGGCATCTGGAAGCTAAACAATTTGGTGGAAGCCAAACTCAACACTATCATTGTTCCAGAACTTTTATTATGCACATATGCCTAAATGCACATTCCAAAGCATGTGAAATACTCTAAAACTGTAATTACATACCCAAGAAACAACCACTCATGGATGAAAGTATTTTGGTACCAGTCTTGCAATAAAACAAATATTGACCTTTCTTCTTTCATTATTGTAATATTATAAATATTATTCTGGATTTCTATTTTCTTTTAACATTTTAATCACTTTGGTATAGAGCAGTTTAACATTTGTACATCATTTTATATATTGGTGTTTCAACATTTATTACATGTATTTATCCACTCAAAATCAGAAACATATTTTTTTGAGGGCTTAGTTTTTATTCATCTAACATTCTATGCATTTATTTTCAAATATGTATTATTAGATTGTTAGGAAAGTCATGACATATTTCTCTATGCAAAAATGCATCATGACTTTCCCAATAACATATTAAATAAGTTTTAAACATCAATATTTATGGTTTTGGAGAAAGTCTCCTTCAATGTCATAAAAGTCCAGCAGGTGAAGTGCAGGTTATTTTTAATATTAATCTTTATATTTGTTATTTAATAGAATTTTTTTCTATATGGTGTAGATTGAAGTCTTAAGATCTTCACTAGCCTTTTTTCTTTTTTAGTGTTTAGCAAGATAGAGAAGAAATGAAAGGGTTTTTTGAAGTTTATTCATTATTTTCTGAGAGAGAAAAATTAAGAGTGATAGTCACCCTTGAGAGGGTCTTCACTCCTCAATCCTGCCCCAGGACATTCCCACATGATCTCCAGCCTTACTACAACACTCCATAACTGGGACAGGAAATGGAAGTTTTTGCCCTTCTTTCTCAGCTTTTCTTTTAAGACATGAACACTAAGCAGGAATTTAAGCACCTAATTGAACTAAATGTATTAATGACATGAATCACTTGTTTTAAAAATCTATTCAGGTGGCATGTTAAGAGTCTCACACTTATCTAACGTCAGACCATAGCAGAAAGTTAGTTCTTTCATTGGTCATCCTGTAAATGAAGGCTGAATTCAATTCCACTGTGGCAGGCTTTTGTTTTCATTTTCTTAATTGGATTCAGTGATTGAATTAACACAGAGAGTAAGTCCTGGAGTTTATGGCTTCCCTAAATGCTTGGTTAAATTTGAGATCCACTCCAGCTAATTAAATTCAAATGATACCTTGTTTTCAATTTCTTATTGTAACTTCAGGCAAATAAGTCTCAGAAATAACTAGTGATAGGACAGACAGCCAGGATGAGGTAGGAAATGGGAGCCTTAGAAATATTTCAAAAAATAAAAATGCATTTCTTTAGAAAAAAAAAAAGAAAATACTTCTTGTTAGATACTAAAGCCCAAATCACATCAAAGTTCTTCTTAAATAATAATGATTGGTTTTTGGTCTATGAAGTTCATCATTGTTAAATATATTAGATTCTATTTAAAATAATTTATTTTGTTCTATCAATTTGGATGCATATGTTTATTCTAGTATCACCTACTTGCTGCATAATACAATTTAATGCCTGACAGGGCACGTCTTTTTAAAACACTTTCTAGCTAGTATTACTCAATATTTTAGTGAACGTCATAATTATTTCACATTAAAAAGTTGTATTTGTATTTCAGGAGAATGGCAATGAATTGATTAATTTACAATACAGATTTGTAAGAGTAAGGTTGAACATTGCCTCCAATATCAGACAGCTTGGTTTTAAATTTTGTATTACCACTGAATATAGTTTTTAAGAAATCGTTGAATGATTTTAAGGTTGAATGGAGACTATCAATTTACCTACTTTATTTAATAGTTGTGAAGATTACATTAAATGCTATAAATCAAGGTTTTAGCAAAAGAAAGTACTCAATTAGTATAGTATCAAATGTTATTATTCCACATTCAACATCACCTTTTTACATTTTTTGGCAATGTTATGGAGTGTCTATATTTCAGATCCACCTTTTTTCTTTTCTTTTCTTTTCCTTTTTTTTTTTTTTTTTTTTTTTAAATTTTTACTTAGGTAAGAGAGAGAAAAGGAAAGTGAGAAAGCACCCCACCTTCCCACCCCAGGGGAGTGGGAATGGCTGTACCATAATCCTTTCTCCATTCTCCTCTCAGGATTTTGGGTCATATGCACACATGCCCAGTATGTTTTTTCAAGCCACCAGGTCCAGTACTTGAACTGCACAGGAGGCCATATGGGATATAGCCATCTTAACCTCCATGCCATCTGTCAGCTTGAGAGCCGCATAGTTTTAGTAGATATATTTCTATGCATTTTCTATGTATTTGTTTCATTTGTGGCAAAAAACATTATTTATTTATTTTTGCCAGAGAGAGAGAGAGAGAGAGAGAGAGAGAGAGAGAGAGAGAAGAGAAGAGAAGAGAGGCAGGAGAGGGAGTAAGCATCCCCAAAGGAGGTATAGTCAAGCTGAAACCCCTGCTCCTTCATTTCTCTATTCTGTTGGATTTGGGGCCATTTTCAAGCTTCTTGGACTGGAATTCAAACTGTAGTTGGCCATGTGGGATCTGACTCCCCTTAATCACTAGTCTATGGAGCCAGCTCAATTAGATATGTTTTCTAATGAATAATTCTGATACATAGCTCATTTAAAATTATCATGAATTATTTTATATGAGTTCAAATTACAAAACTTTCATTCTATTTTGAAATTTTTCAATTAAATATTATATTGAAAGCCTGCCTAGTTAAAAGCCAATTTTGAAGTTTTTAAACTGTACTTTCTTTTTGTTGGAGAGGTTTTCACTGTAGGGCGCGTGCGCTCGCTAGACAGACAGAGAGAGACATAGAGACAGAAAGCGAGAAATCACCCCCCAGGGGGGATGGTCACGCCGCAATCCCTTCTCCTCCATTCTCCTCTCGGGATCTTGGGCACGCATGCACACGCGCCCAGCGTGAGTTTTAAGCCACCGGGTCCGGGACACGAACCGCAGTCGACTACGTGGGAGTCCAGCGACATAGCCATTACGCTAACTGCTGGTTCCCTAAACTGTACTTTCTTAAAAAAGTTAGATATAAGTTAAAAATACTTTATATGCCAGATACTGTATAAAGTATACATGCACTTATTTAATCCTTGAAGCACATTTTTGGTATACAAATTGTGTATTAAATGTATAATTTAAATTGATATAGTTGACCAGCACTAGAATATAGAATTTCTTATTCCAAAGTCTATAGAAGAAAAAATTCTGTGTAGGGGCTCATGAAAATTTAATTCTCTGTGGGGTTCAGCATAGTAAACTCATTTGGGTACAAATGTATCAATAATTTTTTTTAGAGTCTCTTTTACTTTATTGATTTGTTTTCCTGTCTTGGTACATCACAAACTGAACTAGTTAAAGTATTGTTTGTAGTTTGCTTGTCGTTTTATCTGTTGTAATAATCTTACTTCACTTCATTACATAATAAACACCATGTAGTTATATAT